TGACGAAATAATTTTCGACGAAATGAACTTTCGATGAAACAAACTTTCGACGAAATGGGTGTCGACGAAATGACTGTCAACGAAATGAATCAGACCCGTATTTATCATATTAAGCTCTTCCTTTACATTTTATTCATATGTAAATAACAATAAAGCAACAATAATACACCAATTATATCAGAAGAAAAAATATTTAATAAATTTTCAAGGCTGTGTTATATTTTTTAATGCACCAGTAAAGAAGGATATTTTTTTCATTAAAATGCAAAAAAATTTTTTTGTTAAAAAAAAGCACTAGTAATTTATGAATAACTCTACAAAAATGTAACCATCTAGAATAGGTGGTTATAGGAACGATTCTTAGATGGTAGTGAGTGGTACAGGAAGAACAAGATCCATAAAAAAAACAATAAATCCAATAATTGTGGGATAATAATATATTATTTAAATATAATCACAACTATCTGAAGAATAGATATATACATACACATAGTAACAAATTTTATTGATATTAGGCTTTACTACTTAATAAATATCAAGTGATATATATATAGTTCACTCTCTATAATGGACCCATTTGGCTTACAAAAAAATGCCTGCAATGATTTATATATGGGTTATATAAATCGAGCTTAAACTCTTATTTCTTTATAGAGTAAGATCTATTATAGAGAGATCCATCGTAGAAAGATAGCAATAGAGAGAGATCCGTTATATAGGGAGTGAACTATAACTATGTGAGTTGAGAATTTGTGCCATCTGAAATTTTTCTTTTAATATTAAGAAGAAAAAAATTATTTAATTAGCTCACTGTCATCTAACAATTCACATGAAATAACTACTTTTGTCAATTGATGCAATTGAAGATAGTGAGAAGAGCATTTTAAGCGCATGTTGCATTTTTTCTATATTTGATTGGTTTCTTACAATGTTTTTTAGGAGGTAGTACAGGTGGTTTAATACCATGCTAATTAATCAATAAATATAATCAATAAGTAGTCAATAAATTATATATTAATTATTTCTAACAATAAAAAAAATTGTTTACTTTTTTAACCCTGTGTCGAGGTTCATATTTTTTAGCAAATTTAGCATTTTCGTATATTAATGCAAACCCATTAGAGCGATTTCCATCATATGTAGTTCTCATAGCAATACAAAGACAACATCTTTGTTGACTCCAAACATTTTAACAAATTTGGGTTCGAATTTCACTATTTGTTAAACTGGGTTCGTTGGGGTGTAAAACATCAATTACTAATTGTTTACGATGCATTGCAAGATTTTCTTTAAATCTTCTAATTCTAAAAGTGATCGAGTTATCTCTAATATTTTTAACCTTGTCAACCTCTTTAACCTTTTCAACTTCTATGTCCTTGTTAACCTTTTTACCCTTGTCAACCTTTCCATATGTTATATTTTAAATTTAGATAATGTATTAGACATTTAAAAACAAACAAATTAATTGTTGAAACCCTTTATATCAACAAACCTTTTTTTTTCATTTTGTTTTAAATTTGAAGAATAAAAAAAAAGGAGGTACGTGATGCGCGTACAAAACACCATTTGTATGGATGACACGAAAATTAAAATAGTCAAATAGAATCAGGTATAGTGCAGGACACCTAGTCCCTACAACTTTTATTAGCCTTGCAAATCCTTTAACTCCTCCAAAAATGGAAATGTGTGACCAAAAAAAACAAGATGACATTTTGAAGCTAAGACCTTTTTCTACAAATGACATTTTCATTTTGCTGATATGCCATGTTGTTGTGGAGGAACTAAGCCTTAAAGTTGCATAATTTTAACAAATTTACTATGTTAATCCCCCAAAGTGACGTGTTACATGCAAATTTTTTATATTAAAAATGAATGAATTGGAAGAATTGAAAATTTTGAAATCTGTATTGCAGATCTTTTTTATCACGTGATACCAATAAAGAGAATGCAACGTGACAAACCTATTTTTAAAACACGTGACTGTAAAAATTTTATTGCATTTTTGATTGTGAATTTTTTCCCAAATCTGTTGCTGTGGTGCAGAAAGTTGTAGGGACTAGGTGTCTGCACCATATTTGTTTGTAGGATTAATTTTTAAAAAGTAATTCTTACATTATTTTAGGGTAAAATATGTTATGTGTTTTATTAGTGATAATATTATTATTATTACAATGTGTTAGGAAGTATTAATTATTAGATCAATAATTAAAAGATTGTTATAAACATGATGATTTTGACTTGGTCTAAAACCAAGTCTTTTTAATACCTCTTGGGGTATTACAAATAACATGACTTTTACTCTATTTTGTCCAATAAAATATGCTTATTAATGTGAAATAAATATTTGGGTCAACTGAGCATTAACAAAATAATAATTAATAACTTAAAGTAAATATATGAATAATTGTTCATTTGATGTGGCAAAATTGTCTGCTGGATGACAGAAGTTTCAACAATAATCTATGCTTGATAATGTTAATAGAAAAAAAACTTTCTTTAGTTAAGTGAAAGTTGCTATTTAAATTCCTTTGCCTCTAGTAAAAGTCTATGTGCATTGACCTCTGCTGGATGACAAAAGTAGAAACTACATATTTTTTTTTATTTTACATTTAACCAGCATGGTGGACATTCGAATGTTGCACCAATTTTTTATGCTGTGTAATGTAATTTTTAAAGTAAAAAAACCGTGTGCTCAATTAAAATGGGTATACATTGATGTGTGACACAACTGTAACTTTACAGAGATATTCTTTAACGTTTTTTAAACTTAATTCCAGCTGCATCCGTTGGCATCTGCGATTTTGACATACTTTACTTAGTACTAACATTTCCAATATGTTATTATGCGGCAGATGTGTAATTTGCAATGAAATTAGAGTAGGCTCCGAAGTATAGAAAAACAAGTAAAGAAACTAAAACTTTTAAACAATAAATGAAGCTACTAAAAGAAAAACTGAAGGGGGATACAACAAGGTATTCATTCTATAATTATTGTTAAATTAATAGTTTGGTATAATATATTTACTTTGTATATCTATTTCTTATTATTAGATGAATAAATGATGAATAGTAGAAGGTGGTTGTTCTATAATTATTGTTAAATTAATAGTTTTGTATAATATATTTTTTTATTTATTTATTTGTTATAGACATGGATATAGAAACAAGATAGTCATTTTATAATTATTATTAAATTAATGGTTTTGTATAATATACTTATTTTTTCTTGTTATTAGGTGTGGATAATAGAAACAGGGTGTTTGTTCCATAAATTAATGGTTTTGTTTCCTTAGAATGTAAGCAAAAGAAACGGTAAGTTGTTTCTATAATTATTGTTAAATCAATAAATTTGTATAATATATTTATATCTATTTCATAGATAATAGAAATGAGGTAGTTTTATAATTCTTGTTAAATTAATAAATTTGTTAAATTTGTATAATATATATTTATTTCATAAATAATAGGAACAAGGTAGTTTGTTCTTGATTATTGTTAAATTAATGGTTTTGCATTATTTGCTTCCAATATCTTACTTGAATAAACTTATACGTCACGAAGCCTCTTCTCTAAATTTTTGTGTAATCTATTCGGCCAATCAAATTTTCTTTTTTGTGTAATCTGATCGACGAAAATCATTACCAATTATAAGGATGTCCACCATGCTGATGAAATGTCTCTTTTTTTATCACATGATGAAAATAAATGTGGCAAAGAAGGATTTTGCATTTGAAGAATTTGACAAAAGTGATGAAAGTGACAAAATCAACAAAACAATAACAATTGAATGATTTATCACACTAATCAATTGGGAAGTGCATTTTCCAAAATCTTTGGTGATCAATGTCAAAATTCTATTGATAAAATTAGCCACAAACCTTAATTTTAACCATTTTTGCTCAGCAATCTCCAAATTTGACACATAAATTTTTTTGAACTTATTCCTTCTTTTAGAAAAATTTAGGGAGGCTATTAATAAAATAGAAAAAAATCTTGGTGTTGAAAATTCAATGCCCGCAATGCCCGGGTGTAACATTACACACTAATCAAATTTTAAGTTTTGGAGATGGTTTCTAAATTTGTACTAGTTACACAGCGAAGTTTCAGCACTGTTATCAACAAATTACTGTATTTGGTCATTACTCCTGATAATCTCCAGCCCACATTTTTTCTTTTGTGTATATATTGATAAATAAAATTTATTAAAATTTCACTAAACTTTAATAAACAACAATCCACATAAAGCTATACCCACATGAAAATTATGGTATTCTTCATTTTTTTAAACACTCATCAAGTTTATAAAGGTAATATTGGTAAAAAGTAATGCTGTTTTCAAATAAATATAGCTTGACATGGAGAGCCTCTATCAATATAAGAGAGGATTTGTTAGAAAGCTATAATGAAATAGATTTATTTTTATTATTAATAATGCTTGAATTTGTTTATAAAAATAGAGATATTTAAAAAACTGATTGGTTACATGAGTCAGATTTTCTATTTATATATGTAATTACACTTCCTGTGACATATTGCTCAACTAGTAAAATAAACCAATTATTTTGCAGGTTATAAATTTTTTGCATTTTTGGTTTGAGGAGTAAATTTTAAAAATAAAATTTGCTAGTTACTTCCATATTGATGAGTAACTGGAGAGATTCTTCACAGTAGTGTCAACATGGCAGATGGTAGTATCCTTAATAATTTGTTTTCTATGAGCTAACTTGGGGGTTACATTTATTGGATGTTGATCTTGAACAAATGACCTTCATTATTTTTGTAATTTTCTGTTAAATGGCTAATTGGCTATTGATAGCTGATAAAACTTTTCTGATATGGTTGGCTCGATCTAAAGACCTCATGATGCTGCGCCACGTACTCAAATTTCAAAAAATTGCGATTTCGTGATTCGTTCAAAAATGCAATAAAATTTTTAGAAAAAAGGGTTTCACGTGATTTTGATTAAAAAATTATTTCCTTTACTGCTAAATTTAGATATGATGTCGATATTAGTCTAAATTTCGTAATGATGATCAAAAACTAGTCTAAATTTAGAAATGATACTAGCGCTCAAATTTTTCATGAACATAGTAGAGTACATGTTTTAAAAAAGAATATAACTCTACAACAAAGAATTTTTTGAGAAAATCTCTTTATTACATTAAAACTAAATACATATTCTATCAACTAATAGAGCTATTCTTTTAAAAGATAGGATAGAAAGTGACTTCTATACTTTTAAAGTTTT